GTCTTTAAAAAAACTATTCATACTATAATAAATAAAAAATAAAATAATACATTCATGTTAAGAATTTAATAAAGTGACTTATAAATAGAATAAAAAAAATTTTCTTTATACTTTATAAATAGGACATGAAGAGTATGTTACTATAGAGTTCCCAAAAAGTTAAAAACTTAAATACATTTCAACTAAAAAAATACTCCTTCGGTCCTAAATATAATACCCTTATACACACTTGTATAAGGGTCTTATATCCAGGACCGGAGGAGTATAATAATTGATAAAATCACACACACACACCCCCTCTCTTTAGACTGATTATTAGTTAAGAAGTAGCAACAGATTTGGGACATTGGTGATTAGCTCTGCTTTGGAGATAACAACTAAGCGCCAATCATTTTTAGTGTGAACATTTAAGACTAACGACAATTGATTGGTCTAACGACAATTGTGCCAAACCATATACAGTTAGATAATCGTAAGACCTAATTTTAGAAAAATAATTTTATGGTCCACCTTAATAAAATTACAATAAATATATAACTTCTAATAACAAAAGTAACACTACTCCCTATCTCTAATATAAAATCTGGATTGTGGTGCAAATTACATTAAAAAATATACTATATTAAGTTTGCAAATTTATAATTCTTCACACGCATGTGTGCGTGTGTATGACGCAATAAAAAGAGAAGTCATCACCACAAAGTCAAAAGGCCCTATGACCATAGCTATCTTAAAATGGATGAAGATACCTACTTTGATCCGCGAGTTCTTCATGGTTAATACTTTATTAATAAACCAATAATTATTGATTGATTAATTTCTTCCGTCTGGGGATCCCACGCGTTTTAACAAGTCAATGGCCAAGAAAGAATCAAACTATTATTCAACGACGTCATTTAGATTCCTCTAATTCATCGTTTTAACTCTTCGTAACTAAAAATTTCACCAATTACGAAGTAAACAAGGAGCATATCATTGAGGCAGCACAAGGAAGATTATTAGATTTGATGAAAATTTTCTTTTATTAATTTATACTACTCCCTCCGTTCCTTATTATAAGAGACAAATAACCGAAATACGTTAATCAAAAAAACAGTTAAAATTAGTTAAGAACAATTAATGTGTAAAAAGTATAATTTTTTTTCCAAAAATGCCCTCATTAATAAGGAGAGAAAGCATGAGAGAGAACAATTAAATTATTAAAAGAAAGAGAAGTGGGAGGGAGAGAGAGTGTGAGTTGGAGATAATAAATATGGGTAAAATAGTAAATCAACACAAAAAGTAGAGACAACTTGTAAGTGTCTCTTATATTAGGAACATGCCATAAGCATCAAATGTCTCTTATAAAAGAACGGAGGGAGTACTATTTTCTGTCCTAATTATAAGAATCAGTTGACTAATTTGAAGAGATTAAGAAAGTAAGTTGAGTTAGTTATTTGTCCTAAATAGGTGTTGTCTTTCTTAAAACATCCTTGCTAATCAAGTGTATTAACTAGAACTATAATTATTAGAAGGATTATCTTAAAAAAAATTAAATAAATATAAGAGACAAAATGGATTGAGTATTATATTTAGAACTAAAATAAAAGTCAAATATGATTTTATATTAATGACCGGAAGTGATACAATTAAACATATATATATATATATATATATATATATACACAAACATGTGAATGTCAACTTCAGACAACTTTATTGTTGGGACAGCGAGCCGTTGACTTGACAAATAATTTTCTTTCATGCCATTGTTCACTCAAAATCTCGGTATTAAATATATAACTTCTAATAACAAAGTAACACTACTCCCTATCTCTAATATAAAATCTGGATTGTGGTGCAAATTACATTAAAAAATAAATACTATATTAAAGTTTGCAAATTTATAATTCTTCACACGCATGTGTGCGTGTGTATGACGCAATAAAAAGAGAAGTCATCACCACAAAGTCAAAAGGCCCTATGACCATAGCTATCTTAAAATGGATGAAGATACCTACTTTGATCCGCGAGTTCTTCATGGTTTAATACTTTATTAATAAACCAATAATTATTGATTGATTAATTTCTTCCGTCTGGGGATCCCACGCGTTTTAACAAGTCAATGGCCAAGAAAGAATCAAACTATTATTCAACGACGTCATTTAGATTCCTCTAATTCATCGTTTTAACTCTTCGTAACTAAAAATTTCACCAATTACGAAGTAAACAAGGAGCATATCATTGAGGGCAGCACAAGGAAGATTATTAGATTTTGATGAAAATTTTCTTTTATTAATTTAATACTCCCTCCGTTCCTTATTATAAGAGACAAATAACCGAAATACGTTAATCAAAAAAACAGTTAAAATTAGTTAAGAACAATTAATGTGTAAAAAGTATAATTTTTTTTCCAAAAATGCCCTCATTAATAAGGAGAGAAAGCATGAGAGAGAACAATTAAATTATTAAAAGAAAGAGAAGTGGGAGGGAGAGAGAGTGTGAGTTGGAGATAATAAATATGGGTAAAATAGTAAATCAACACAAAAAAGTAGAGACAACTTGTAAGTGTCTCTTATATATAGGAACATGCCATAAGCATCAAATGTCTCTTATAATAAAGAACGGAGGGAGTACTATTTTCTGTCCTAATTATAAGAATCAGTTGACTAATTTGAAGAGATTAAGAAAGTAAGTTAAGTTAGTTATTTGTCCTAAATAGGTGTTGTCTTTCCTAAAACATCCTTGCTAATCAAGTGTATTAACTAGAACTATAATTATTAGAAGGATTATCTTAAAAAAAATTAAATAAATATAAGAGACAAAATGAATTGAGTATTATATTTAAAATCAAAATAAAAGTCAAATATGATTTTATATTAATGACCGGAAGTGATACAATTAAACATATATATATATATATATATATATACACACAAACATGTGAATGTCAACTTCAGACAACTTTATTGTTGGGACAGCGAGCCGTTGACTTGACAAATAATTTTCTTTCATGCCATTGTTCACTCAAAATCTCGGTATTTTGTTTTGTGAAAATCTGCAAACATTAATGCCAATTGCAGAACTCTTGTTAATCTTTCAGGATAACTTGAAATTTCATTTTTAAAATGTTGACTTGTTAAGTTAGAATATGTTGTTATAAGTACAAATTTACTTTATTATTTTTTTTTAAGTAAACATAGAATTTTGAGTAAATGACGATAAAAGAAGGTTGCTTGTCCAAATTTAAACACCATCAAATAAGTTATAAAATAGCATCTCGCATTTGCATCACAGATATTTTAAACATTTTACATCAAACGTATTTTTACTTCAACCTTACAGCAGGCAATTTCATAACTATATATATGAGCCCAAAGTGCCTTTAATGCCATTTTTTAATGTAGGAAATTTTATAAATAATTGAAAAAATGTCCCTTTTCTTAAAAAAATTTCATGCTTGTAATGTTTTGGCAATGTTGTGTGTGTGGGTGAGGGAGAGAGAGAGAGAGAGAGAGAGAGAGAGAGAGAGAGAGAGAGAGAGAGAGAGAGAGAGAGAGAGAGAGAGAGAGAGAATTTGATCCCAAGCGAGAAAGAACGTCGTGTCACAGTTATAGTCTTTTTCCCCACTTCGAATTTGAATTTTCCAAGCGCACGAAAACGGTATTTTGTGTGTCTGTGTGTGTATTCAAAGAAGTACAGCTAAATTAAAATGTTTGGAAAATGAAGCACGACATTTCAAAATCGCAATTCATGCATTTGTGATATTGCATAAACATTTCCGTTAAATTAATTAAAGTCATTTTCTAATAATTATCCCATTAAAATAATGGTTTCATTGTGAATGAATCTACAAAATAATATTATTTAGAGTAAAATATACCGATTACCCTTCTATTTTATCTCAATTACCGAAACTTCTTTTTTATTTTGAAAACGTATATAAACCTTTCTTACAGTTAAAATATATGTTATACAAACCTCCCTCATATATTTAAAATTTTATTTTCATCCTTCAAACCGTTAGTTGACCGTTATATTTGACTTTAAATTATTTTTTGACCAAAATGCCCCTTTTTAAATTAATAATTATTTAGACTTTTATATTTTTCAAAAAATGTTTTTATGAAATCAAAAAATAATTATCTTTAAAATTTCTAATATGGTATAAAATTTATTAATTTTGATCCAAATCATAAGATTTTATAATTTTCGTATTTTACTTTAAATCATAAAATTAGTTAAATTTTTAATCAAATCTTTTATGTTTGCCTTAACTGAATGAAATTGATGTAACTGTAAAAATATAATTTAAGAATTTATTAGAATGAGGAGTAAAATAATAAATAAATTTTATTTTGATATGAATTTCAATTAAAAATAATATTGTTAAAATATTCCTAACAGTGTTAAGTAATTGGACTAAACTATATATTTTTAAAATAGAGGGGAGGTCCATGTAATTGATGCAAATTAGAACCGCATTGTATTTAATACTTGTTTTAAAAATAATAAATCATCTTAAAAAATATTTCATGATAAAATTAATTTCATCAGAAAGAAATGACAACATTAAAATTTTGAATATTTAAAATATATCATTAAATGTTGATATATTAAATTTATTTAATAAAAAATAATAATTGACCCAAAATTATCATTTGAAATTGATAGTGGCACGGATAGATGACAGCAGAGACATCTTTATAAAATCAAAAAAATCAAACTAAAATTTTATATTAAGTTAGGAGGTGTTTGCTTTATCTTCTCATAGCACTTTCATGTAAATTAGACGAAATTCTTTTTATGAATGTACCTCTTGGTTAAAGTATAATTTTGTAAAAATAAAAGACAAATAATAATTTCCTTTATTTGATAAAGGACAACGAAGAGAAGAAAAATTATAATAATTTCCCCATACACGCATTTCCGCTTTTCAGTTTTCTTTCAGTCCATGACGTTTCGCGTTCGTATAAAGTGGTATATGTAGCTTCCCTCGCCTTTCGTCTCTGTCATCTCTCTCTCAAGTCTCAACCTTTCCTCTTCAGTTCCCTCATCACATTTGAACTTTGCTTCCTTTCCCTTCTTCCTCATCGATTCTTCATCTCTTTCTCTGTTTGCATGCTTCGCGAGTAATGGGAAATCTCTGTGCCCTCCTCTCGAAAGAACCTGCCAAGAAGAAGCCCACAAGGCGTCTATCTCACGCGCCGTCGCATTCGAATTTCAGCAAACGATGGGCCGGAATGCGTTCGTCGCGTAAGGAGAAGCTTGAGCTTGATGATGCTCTGATTCATGAGCAAGCTTTGGCTGCTGCTATCCTCTTCAAGCAGCATCAGCAGAATGGTACTCTGCCCTCCTTTGATCGCTCCGCCTCTCTACGATATCCAAATGCTGGCTCCAAGAAGGTTACGTTGCCACGGAGTTCGAGTTCGAGGGCTCGGTCCCTTACTGACCCTTTGCTACAGCCTCATCAACTTGCTCATCAGGTTTGTTTTCATCTGTTTTGGATTTCAAATTGGTGAATTAATTGAGGAATTGGGTTATGGAGTGAAGGATGGGTTTTATTTTGGCATTCGTATTCGGCTTTTTATTGTTTACGAGAAAATTGGATCATTTTTCAAATTTTGAAAGACAATTAGTTGATGATTTTGGAAAATGAGATGAGATGGTTGGTTCTTGACAGAGTATAAGAAGGAATTGTGTGATGATTGCTTTCTTATGATCGATTTTCTTCCCCGATTGAACTTATATAAGAGGAGAGTGTATCGGGGTTGTACTTTTTAGATTTGCATATGTTACTAATTAGAATTAATCAGTGCGCTGCTGTAAAAGGCTCGTTTTCGCATATTTTGCTTAGTAGCGTGATGCTGTAGATACTTGAATTACTGTTGTCTTAAAGTTTATAAGCGAATCTTGAAGAACTGAAGGTAATGCAATATGGAAGGGCAGTTTAAGTTTGTGTATGCGTATTGATTGTATATTACAAGGCTCACCTTCTGAAGTAATTTTTACTAAAAGTTAGGTGTGGCTTTGAAGGTAATCTTGTTTTGCCTCTTTCTTCTTACACGAAAAATTACAGGTTCCTAAAATGACATTGAAAAAGAGATGAATTCAATACTGTGGGACTTTTTTCCGTTTTTTTATTTAATTCAATAAAACAAATTAAAATTTTCCAAGAGCTTTCCTGATTCTGGCGTGGATGTAAATGTGTTACCTAAATCTCATCGATTTTTTTGGGGGGTAACTTTGGTTATCTCTGGAAGTAAGAGGGTCCTGCTGAAAGTTACTTCTTTAGTTTTTATTAGGATTGACTTGCCTTTCACCGTGTGAATGTGTCTGCAAGTGTAAACACCTACCCTTGTCTTCATGTAGGCAAACCTACTAAATGATAATTTGTTCGTGTGCAGTCCTTTGTTAATTATTTATTTCTAATTATTACTACCATTTGATCAATGTTTCCATGGTATAAAGTTAATTTAAAGATTTCCATTTGATTATAACATAAATTCTTTGAGATTACCTTAACTGGTCATCTTCTTGTAGAAGTTGACAGGCAAATGGCCAAACATTAATTACTTTTTGGTTCAAATATAATAACTCTTTAGATTACCCTGTTCTTTACTATTTTCGTTTTTTAGGTTCTTTGAGCTTATACAGTGTCTTTTAACTAGCAGGAAATCAAGCTTGATGATCTTGAGACCAATCATTTTGTCCTTGTCCATGGAGGTGGCTTCGGTGCTTGGTGCTGGTACAAAACTATAGCACTTCTAGAAGAAGGTGGTTTTAAAGTGACTGCCATTGACTTAACTGGTTCTGGAGTTCATTCATATGATACAAACAAGATTACATGTCTATCACAATACGTGAAACCACTTACTGATTTTCTCGAAAATCTTGCTGAAGGAGAGAAGGTGTTTATCTTATTACTTTCCTATTTTTATTGCTGATAATTTGTTCTATGTTTAGCATATCTTTTCATGGGCCATTATCAAGTCTGTTAGCACCTATGGAATTTATCAAATGTGGCCATCAATGGTTGTTGCCAAGCACTTGTCGTGGTTAAGGGATTTGCTCATATTTCCCCCGTCCCAAGTTTCTAACATGATCCCCAACCCTGTGTTCATGTCTTCATAACTACTCTTTGTAATTATAAGAGTTTAAGTTTATGGTTCTGAAAAGGATTTCATGTTGTGTTAACTGCGGTTTTGGCTACCTCAAACCTGATTATTCTGCCAAATTATTGTTAATTTCTTGTTGCATCAGTTTGAGGTGTTTTCTCTATGTTACTATGGGCTTGCAGCATGAACTTAACGATTGTGCTTATGTTTAAGAACTGGCTCCAGATTCACATTTATTTCATTTAAATTGCTGCTAGAAATCCAGCCAAGAAAGTAAATGTCTTTCTTACACTCTTGGGTTGACATTATGTTGTTATTGGCTTATTGGGCACAGTATTTAGTGATGTTATATCTGGTGTTAGAATCCAGTTTTGAGACAGACCTCCTCTGTTAGTTCCTTACTTTCTTTTGGTTTTGACGCAGGTGATCTTGGTTGGGCATGATATTGGTGGGTCATGCATATCATATGCAATGGAGTTGTTTCCTCTTAAGATCTCCAAAGCAGTTTTTCTTGCTGCAGCAATTCCGACTAGTGGACAAAGTACTTTTGATGCCATCTCTCAACAGGTTTTCAGTTTCTTCTGTTTATGTTATGATCAAGAATGATATAGTCTTATCCGTGATATGACCTCATATCTTAGCATCTCTGATTAAAAAAGGAAAAAAAAAACATACGGACCATGAAAGAGAAAAAAGAAATCAGAATTGGAAGGTGGGGTTGGGAGTAAAGGGGATTGGTTCTTGTGGTCGCCTTTTTATGATTCTGATTGAATCCGTCCCAAAGCAATACAGTTTGTTAATTCATTTGTTTAAAGCTTTTTAACTGGCTTCCAACATCAATGAATTAAATTTGATTTGTTATATGACAGATTCTATAAAGTGATTTTGATAATAGATTCTGCAATTCTTAAAATCAAAATGCGCCTGTTTGAAGATGAAACCTTTTTGCCTGAGCCACTCCTGCTCCATTTTTCGAATTTATGAACCTTCTGCCTTTATAATTCTAAGCCGAATTATGTGAACATATGAACATGAAATTTCCAGAAACCCCTTTATTGTCTCCGTACGCATCTCTTAGGAAAGAATGTAAAGTAAATTCACAGCACTGCGGAGTAAAGACAGAGTTTCATGGCGGATAATTTTTTCCTTCTCTTAGACATAGCAGTAAGCATTATCCATAAACAGAGTTCTTTAATTATCTTCTGAGTATGTTTGATTGTAGCGTTCTATTGCAGGCAGGATCAAATGATCTCATGCGACAGGCTCAGATTTTTCTGTATGCAAATGGGAGTGATCACCCTCCTACTTCTATAGATCTAGACAAGTCATTATTGAAAGATTTGTTATTCCATCGAAGTCCAGCCAAGGTAAGTCAGATACTATTGAAATAAAATATCTTCTGTTTTTCTTTGTTGTAATGATTTTGATATAAATGAAAATGAATCATCGGGACCTCAGCCTTATATAACATTGAAAATCGCAGCACATGAAATGAAAATATGTCAGACAGCAAGTGGAAAAGTGCAATTAGCTGAATTATAAGCAACTGGATTAGCTACACATCTATAAACCTAAAATTGATTGTTTGATAGGTGATGGGAACCTAAGTGGGGCTTAGACATGCCATACCGTCGAAGTCCCCGTTAGAAGGTCATAGATCTTGGGCTAGCGAGCAAGCATATTTTGAACTATGCCTCTGAGCACTTACCTTCATGTTTTGCGTGTTAGTTTAGTAACAGTGTTGCATATGAATTTCTGCTGCTAGGGGAAGTAGGAATAATTGTTCCAAACCATTTCTATAAATCAAGCCACACCTCAAACCTGAAATGCAAAATTGGAAAAATCAAAGAAAAAATTGTGGAGAAACTATACATGGTGTTTTCACCGGTTTTTCACCATTTTCAGAGGAGAAGCCGGTCCATACTTTCCAGTCTAGCTTGTTGGGTTCTTAATTTCTTATAATGTTGCCATGACAATGCAGAGAATATCTTGTGATGGACTTATAATGTAACTTGTAATGTTATGTGTGCGCCTTTTTTCCCCCTCTTTATACAGGATGTTGCATTAGCATCTGTCTCAATGAGGCCAATACCATTCGCGCCTGTTTTGGAGAAGCTTTCACTTTCTGACCCAAAATATGGATCTGTAAGGCGGTTCTACATAGAGACACCCGACGACAATGCCATACCGATTACACTTCAGAAGAGCATGATAAATGCAAATTCCCCTGAAAAGGTCTTGCGCTTGAAAGGTTCTGATCATGCCCCTTCTTCTCAAAGCCTCAAGCCTTGCACAACTTACTGGTAGAGATATCACAGATCAGGTGAGAGAACATTTTACCCTTATGTTGCCTCTGGAGGCCATCACATCAGCCAGCAAAAGCTCTTCTGATATTGATGAATGAGAAATGCAGCAGTTATCGTTCCTTGATGAAGCCGCATCATCAGAAAGTGAATTGTGGGTTATATAACTAGTGTATGCGTGCAAGTTGCACATTTTTTCCCCTTTTTTCCTTTATTGATTTTTAAGTCGGGAAAAATTGCTAGCAAAGCCGGTTTTAGCTGGTAATATTTGTGACAAATAACCCTTTTTGCCCCAAGTATTACTGGTTAAAAGTCTTACGGTTTGTGTTTGTGGTGTAAGTTACAAGTTATATCTATAGTTGAATAATCAAAAGCTTGTAACTCGCCCACTAATAAGCAAATCCCATAGTAAAGTGTTATGATTAGTTATGCAGAGGCCCTTGTATATGAGGACGGAGAGATTGCTGGGAATAGGAACGTCAAATGTTTCTACATTCTTTTGATGTTCCAAATAATACTGCCGATATCGGAATATGTAATTTTTGGGTTCTTTCCTTTTTGATCTCCTCATTTGTGGGTGATTTTTTGTCATATTTTGGAATATTCTTCTCTTCCAAGTATTTTTCACCATTCCCAAAATTAGTTAAACTTTTGGGATAGTTACAGTACCGTTATACACAAGCAATTAATCACTAAAAAGGTCCCATAACGAGTAGCATGACAATGACAAAACAAGTAATGATGCCTTAAGGCTGAGCAAGGTACCAAATTGGGCACTAAGGGTGTGTTTGGATGACTTCAAACCGTGGTTTGGAAAAGTGATTCTGGAGAATAGATTCTGTGGAGAATAGATTCTGAGAAAAAGTGATTCTAAGAAGTGAGAGTGTTTGGATAGTTATTACCAGAAGTGCTTTTGACATGTGGAAATGACCAAAAAGGGTATAAGTTAATATGATAATTATATAAGGGATAGATTTTATGATTTATTTTGATTTGAAGAAATAAAATTGTTAATGAAATAATTTTTACTAACATAATTAATAATATATAAGATAATATAATTAATACATAATTAATATGTGTACATATATTTATAAAACATAATATTAAATATGTTTATAGAAAAATGATTTTTTTTAGAACAGAAAAATATTAATTTTGTTTAAAGATTGTAAACGTGAAATCCCATAACAGTTTTTCATAACTACTTTTTGTAATAACATACTACATGTATAATAACCTCTGATGTTTAATACAATTAATTAATTAATTGTCACCACACATATATATTCATAAAATATAAGAGTGAAAAATATTTTTAGAGAAGATGAATTATTTTGTTGCAAAATAGAATAAACACGTCTTAAAATAATTTATTAATTATTCAAGTAAGTAATAATTAGCTTGAGAATATAAGGCATAATATTAATAAGAGAAATATAAATAAAGAAGTGTCATAATCATTAAGATGATGCATCGATACAAAGCATTTGTAATAGGTTTTGTTTTTAACTACATATTACAATCTATGATAAAAGGAAATAAATAAGACATGACTACTATCCTCGTATTGAATTAACAAGTTCGTCTCTTATGCTGTCACGAACCTGAGCCATGTAAGATGAAGATTGAATTGATGAATGTATACGTGAAAATCTAACCCCATCATCATCATCTTCTGCATAAGTACCTTCTTCTTCCAACTGAACGAATCCAGGATCAGTAATAGATGTCGTTCTAATAAAATTATGTATAGCCATCGTTGCACAAACGATTTTAACTTGTGTTTCAAAATCATAAGATGGCATGTTTTGTAAGATTGCGAACTTTTTTTTCCAAACTCCGAAAGTTCTTTCAATTGTACTCCTTAAACTTGAATGGAAATAATTAAAGATTTCATTGTCATTTTCAAACCCAGATGTCCTTCGAAAATCAGGCAAATGGTAACGCTCCCGTCTGTATGGGCCGAGATATCCATTCGGTGTTGGGTATCCAGCATCCACCAAATAATATTTTCCTATATAAAAAATGAAATTATTGTAAATTATGTTTCTATTGTTAAGCTAAATATAAAAAAAAATATAGGAAATAAAAAAATACCTTCAGGTGGATGGGGAAAGTTCATTGAAGGAGTTGTGAGGGCATGATCAAATATCCGAGCATCATGTGCGCTACCTTCCCATCCGGCCAAGACAAAAGTAAAACACATGTCCCAATCACAAACCGCCATGACATTTTGTGACACTGTTCCTTTCCTAGAGATAAATTTAGTTTGATCTGTTGCACTGACAACGCAGGAAACATGTGTGCCATCAATTGCTCCAATAGCATGTTTAAAAAAAGGCCAGTATTTACCAAACCGAATTTTTGTATGAACATGCCGGAATGTTGGATCTTTTGGTTTGATATTAGACATGGCAAGTCTACAGCATGCCATTAGACATTATGAAAATGTCTGCTAATTGTCTCCCCTGAATGTTGAAATCTTTCTTGCTGCATTCTGCTACTAAGTGCATGCCCAACGGTATGTAAAAACATTGCAACTGATTCATGTATCCCTATATTTTTAGTTTCTTTTAGACCATGTTGTTGCAATTGTTCCACCAGACTTAAGAACACATCCCGTTCCATCCTAAACATGTTATAACAACGACTGGAGTTGCCATCTAAAACATCCCTTACCCATATGCAGCCTGTATAAGCACTTGTATGCCGAGGCTCCTTACACAAGTTCAAAGTAGCATATGCACCAACCAATGCTGCAACTTTGTTAACTCTTTTTTTCCGTCCCTTAGCATGCTCTTCCACATGTTTAATTTCATCATCCATATTCGTTTTATCCTGTGCACATACACATAAAGTTTAGAATTCCTACGTAGAAATTACGAAACATTTATAAAAGTTACAGAGTTGTCTGATTCATATAACAATCCACTGGTCACATAAAACATACACATATGGAACTGTCTAATATAATAAACAAGTCATAAATCCCTAGTAAAATGCTCTAAAATGGGTAGAAGCTGTTCCTTCTGATCCTTCAGAGCTGCATACATTTCTCGTGCATCCTGCCGTTCCATAAGGAGTTGTGTGCACCGTCTAAAGAAATCAGGATCACTGACAACTTCAGGAACTGTTTTCAGGTGAGACAGGACTCCCCTAATTGAAACCTCATAAGCACGCGCTTCTTCTTCCAACCTTCTAGCTTCTGCTCGTGAAATGACCTCATTTCCACGCTCGGCCTCAGAAATATTTGTTTCAGCAATCTTGCTAATTGCATCCGCTATTTTCATAGAGGGAGATGTGCGTTTCTTCTTGACTTCACTCTTCCTTCTGACCCCCAGTGAGCTACTAGGTCGACTCCTACCTCTGCTTGTACCCCCACCACTGGTATCCTGCCTCAATTCAGTGTTGCCTCCACTACCTCCACTATTATCATTGAAGTTCACTGTGTTAAATTCCCCACTTATACCAGTTGGTGCACCTAAAATTTCATCACTATCTCCGGACCCTTCTTCCAAATCTTCATTCGGTGTTCCTTCACTTGGAAGTGTCATGGAAGAAGGTGCCCATGCTTGTGGTCCAGTTGCAGCCACACTCCCAAACAGTTGAGTTAATTGATCCCTAAATTGAAGTCCTCTATCTCTAAATTTTTCGTAGTTTGGAACTTCCTGCACATTATACATCAATAATATCATAAAATATTCAAAAAAACAGTAAATATGCACAAAACATTAACAGGCAGAGAAAATGTAAGATCAAAAGGTTCAATAATTACCCTTATTTTCCTCTCCCACCAATCATCAGTTGCACTGACAGTATTCCTTTCAGTATCCCATCCCAATCCTGTCTCGCGAAGCAGCCTATCCCATGTCTGCCACTCTTTTCGCAGGGAATCATATTTGTTCTTAAATTGCTGTTTTTCGTACACTCTCCCAGTTTTGGCAGTAAACTTATCACGAAGAATATCCCAAGCTTTCTTTGTTAAGCTTGTACCTCTTCTTTCTCCTTGTTGCACAAGTTCAATGCACAGGTCAATAAACACTTTTGTGGTTCTTACATCCCAGGAAGCTTTCACCGTATCCTTACCCATTATGCTATAGCACAATTACACCTCTTCAGTCATCACAAGTTAATCAACCCAAAATCATATGAAGTAACAAAAATCATATTATCTACTGTAATAAGTGAAAAAGTTGACCACATCTTCAAATCTCAATTCCTTCATCCTACCAAACCAAGCGCGATAAAAATTAACAAACATAAGAAATTTCTAATTTGACATGGCTGGAAAATATACACCTCCCTCCTATTTCAAATTTCATTATCTGTTTTTGCTTCAAAATACTAACTTTTAAAACATCAAAACTAACTAAATTATTATATATACTTTTTATTTTTCTTAACTTTTGTTGAAAGACGATTGGATGAGAAAATAATAAGAAAAACCATTTTTGAACCATCATGTACCATAAATCATATTGTACTTAACCTTTGAAATAACTATGTATTACCAATGTATTTAAAAAAATTCGTTCATGTACATAATTAATACAAATGTTCATGATGAACGTACTAATATTATAAAGCACATAATTGTTTTTAAAAAATTAACATATTGTAGCAGCTTTTCATAATATTTGTTTAAAATTATATTCTTATCAGATTTGTCAACCGAAAGTACAAAAAAAACTAGCAGCATAAACTTCTGACCAAAATACAAATCACTTCCTTCAATATATACATGGATTTGAGTTATGATTCCATTTTTCCTCACTCTCAAAAGTTAGCCATAAGTCTATCAAAATCCTTAATACAACAGTACAGGACAACACATTTCCTATCTCGTTCCAAATCAGATCAACACATTTACATGATAATTAATTTAATTAAAGTACTATCTAAGGGGAAAAAAAATTCCCAATACATTGTTTGACTTCACAGGCTTCTTCTCCGGGAGGAAAATCTGGACAGAAAAAAAAGCTCCCACGCCAGGCAACAAGAGGAAAAATAACTTGCATATATATCCAGTAGAATTCAATTGACAGCCTTTCTCGTCTATAAAAAAATATCACCACATACATCCCTGCCTCTACAACCAGACATTGATGAGTCCAGCTTCGATCCACAGGGAAATTTGCCAGGAAAATGTTTATCAAATATCAATTACCAGCATCTGATCTGTTCCCCCTTCGTTTCATAAAATCAAACTACTATGAAACCAAAGCAAGCAATAATTATCTCATGCCTTCGAATAACATGCCGGTCAGTTTTGGAAAAACCTGGTTGAACAAATTGAACACTAAAATCATTCCAAAAATCAACATACCACGGTGCAAATATACTAGCCACGGTTCTAAATTTCAACACAGGAGAGCTACACGGCGAACAAGACGGACCGAACCTCTGGTTCCACACGGCGGTGCAAAAATCAGAGGAGGGACCGAACCACAACCACACGGTGAACAAATCAGAGGGACCGAACCACAAGTTCACGGCGGTGCAAAAATCAGAGGAGGGACCGAACCACAACCAGACGGTGAACAAATTTCAGAGGGACCAAACCA